ATTTTTTTTGGTGAAGCCAGTGACCCCATCTATTTCAGTGATCCCATCTAATTTTGTGAGTTTTACAAATATCCCTAAGTTTTTTAGTTATAGGGCATTAACATAAATGCCCTTAAACTTAACGGAAAATTTAACAGAATTAAACATAGATGGTGCATTGCAACATTCTATAAAGTTTAGGTGATTAACAATAAAAATTAAAAGTTCATGTGGTAATCGTGCACATACCTAAAAGTTCATATGATACTTATGCAAATTTCCCTTTTCTATATAACCGTTTAAAAAGTTTTCTTTTATCTCCCGAATGTGCGTCTCAATAGTTTTTTTTTTTTTTTTTTTTTTATAGGCGGCAAAATTTTGGAAGAGGACAAATTAAAAAAAAAAGGGGTAAACTGTTTTGAAGAATAGACTCTTAGAAAATGTCATTCTTAAGCCTATTGTGACTGGGACTAAATTAATTTTATCACAATGTATGGCACTAGTGGTAATATTAATTTTCTTTTTTTAAAGAATTTTTATTCTCTTCCCCATGATTCATTTGTGCAATAATGGAAATTAAGATATGCTCGTGACTTGTTATCAATTTCTTATTTTCCTTTTTCATTGTATATAAATATGACGTCTAATGTTACATGTCATCGCAATCACTGACAGATCAAGGAAACTTACCTCGTAGGGTTCATAGGGTAAAAGGTGGTGGCTGCAGTAGCGGCGATGGAGGAGATGGGGGGGTTAAGGTTTTTTTTTTTTTTTTTTTTTTTTTTTTTTTTTTTTTTTTTTTTTTTTTTTTTTTTTTTTTTTTTTTTTTTTGTTGACTAGTCATAAGAGTATTTGGTCAAGGTCTAGAGTGTGTGAAGTTTGCTGCGTTCTTGGTTGAATATCTTTTAAATTTACCCCTCGTCACCTAAGTACCATTTTCACCGTCTCCGTCTAACAAATCAACAGGTGCCGTATTACATGTCATGAAGTGGTGGAACATGTGTTCGAGTTGTATATGGATGACTCAACATTCATTAGGAACATTCATTGATTTTTCTTGGTTGTCTCTACTCAAGGTCTGCTTCAATATACACGATTCACATTTTAGATAGTATCATGATGATGAGTCATAGATGCATGCTCCTAGTCCTGGCTAGTGTAAAAAAGCTAATCTCAACTCAAGTACGAGTAAGCATTTCTATTTGGGTTGGGTGATTTTGTTTCTATTGCTTTAACTGGCCTCAATTACAACAACAAAAGTAAAACAAAAACAACACTTTCTCTTTCTCCAAACCACAAAAAGCCCAAGCAAATTCCAAATCATATCCCTCATAAACTCTAAAAACAAAAATAAAGGCCAGTAAGCCCGTTTACTATGATATATATATATATATATATATCCTCATTCAAATACGTGCTGCCAACATTAAAAAAAATAAAAAATAAGTAGTTGCAGTAATTAACCATTGGAATTTGGATCTGTCTACAAACAATCCAAACAAAATCAGTTACAGCTTAATTTCAAGAATTAGCAAAGGCACGCGACCAACTTCAATTACTTCCCAAAAATAATATTCCTCCTATAAATTTTTTTTAAAAACTCTCCATTCTACTCTTTCAATGGAGCATACTCGAAAGAAAAACCACCGGTATAAGGGTCGCACTTAAAAACAACAGAAGGATAATATTTCTTCTCACGGCTTGGGCACTCGTAATTCATGTGTTCACCTACCTTCTCACATATTGAACAATTCTTGAGGATTGCACGTCCTAGGCTTATGCCACATTTGGCACAACATGAGCCTCTAAAGCGGCAGCCGCAAACCTTGCAATTGACCACACAACCACTGCCAACAACGGCGTTCTCTGGTACATTAGATTTGTAAGGGCAAAAGTGTGAAATGTGATCACCCACCTTTAAACAATACAAACATTCACCTGTGTGCAATTTGTAGATCCATTGTTAAATAAAACAAAAGCAATACAAATAATTACTTGTTATTTAAAAATATAGCGAATGAATGAAGGTGACTAAATTTTTTTTTTCTTTGTCTGTAAAATCATTAAGACAACAAGGTCTACCCTGACTTGCGAACTACTTGATAGTGTGTGTGAGAAATCCACATCTACTTGCAGTTTATTAGGCTGTCGCTTGCATTAAAAAAATATATATTCAAAAGCATACCTATAGAACTCTTATCCTCTGGTTCATCAACCTTCCTACCTGTTTGCAACAAAAAATAACAAGGGTGTTGAGTTAAAGAAGTTAGAAGGAATGACATCTGTGATCCCAAGAATAAATAACTATACTATTAAATATCAGCTATGCATCATGCATGTACCAAAATAACTTGGCTAGAGAAATCATCTTTTTACCATACGAGCTTTTTCAACATAACATAAAATAACAACAAATACATAGATATTATGTCATAAAATAGAGAAGTTGCAAAAAAAAAAAAAATTTGTCTCTAAAATCAAAAGCATACCAATATGATTAGGAGGGAGGAGGGAGGAGGCTATCTAGTATGTTTTTTTTTCCTTTTGTCTCTAAAATCAATAGGCCAACAGGATCTAGTATAGAGAAAAGGGGACTTAACTTTCAAACCAATAGTCTCTAGTTCGAACATGTGTGTGAGAAACTTATCCCTAACTTGCAGTTTAGACTATTGCTTGTATTAAAAAAAAAACAAACAAAAGCATACCAAATATATCATTAGGAGGAGGCGAAGGTTTTTCAAGGCATTGTTTTGCAGCCTTTTGTTCTTCAACCTTGCTACCTGTTTGCATGGAATGAAAATAAAAAGGAAAAGAATGAGTGATGATGTCAAAGAAGTTAGGAGGAATGACATTGATCCAATCAAAAAATAAATATATCATTAAATATCAACTACCCATCATGCACACCAAAATAACTTTGCTGAAAAAAATCATCTTCAAAAACAGATTCAAAATTTTTGTACAATATATATCCTCTAATTACACCAACAGAAGTAAAAATGAAAACAACACTTTGTTTTTTTTTCCAAACCACACAAAGCCCAAGCAAATTTCATATAATCTTCCTCACAAACCATAAAAACAAAAATCAAGGGCATATAGGAGCACTAGGACATAAGGTAAACATATAATATTTCAAACACAAAAGCTGAGGTATAAAATTCAAAGCCCAAATAATTATATTGCATATAGTCTTTGTCACCCTTGAATTAAAAGAAAAAGGAAAGGCATACCGATTATTCGCGTATTGCAGTTGAGGGGGACCGTATCTGGCGATAAAAGGTCCTTTCCGCCGCCGTCCTTATGGAGCACCTCCGATTGGGAATCCAATTTCAGGCACTCCAAATATGAGAAGAGGTCCATGGCTGTTTTCTGTAGAGCTTGGGGTTTGGCTTTACGGTTGCGACTTGTGAGAAAAAAACCGAAGGGTGGTTTGGTTTGGTTTGGGTTTAGGGTGAATTCAATTGTGAGAGAATGAAAGAAGGGAGATGAATTCTTACTTGTTATATAGGTGGGCGTGCACCACAAGTCTTTCTCAACCGACCATATTAATCAATATTATTTTCCTCCATTTCAGCCTTGATTGAATAATAAATTATCATTAAAAACTAATCGGTGGTGTCTTTAATAAGCAGTGCACTAATTTCTTTCTAGTTTTGATTTTCGGATTTCGTTTCCTCAAGTAGCGTTTCAGTTTTTTTTTCCCAAAAATCCAAACCATATATTATATTATATTATATTAATCAATATTATTGGGAAAAAAAAAATCAATATTATATTTCTCCATGTCAGCCTTGATTTAATAATAAATTATCATTAAAGACTAATAGACCTCAATGCATGCATCTTTAATAAGCAGGGTTTGATTTTCCCTAAACCCTAAATCCTTCTCAAATAAAGCAGGAGTCTTCCTTCTCAAATAAAGGACGTTAATTAATGTGGGTTTTCCTTTCTTTTACGTTTCCTTTTTTCTTTTCAAGTTTGCGTAATTGATACTTCATTGAGCCCCACTTCCGAAATTGTACTACTTTGTGACTCCTCTTGCGTACTTCCAATCCAAATGTAAGGATGGCGTTTATGGCAAAAACGACAGAAAATAGGCTCTATTTTTTCCGCATGCAGTCCATCTAGGGCCAGAAATGGTCGAATTAGATATTGCAGGAGATTTTTTTCCTGATTGAATAATAAATTATCATTAAAAACTAATAGAGCCCAATGCAGGCATGGGTGACGTCTTTAATAAGCAGGTAATTAATTTCTAGTTTTGATATTTTGATTTCGTTTGGGATTTTTCGTTCCTCAACTAGAGCCTATTGTTTTAGTAATCTTTTGATATTTTTATTAACAAAAGGGTAAGCTGTTTATTGATTTCTTGAGGTTCAAGCATAGAAAGTTTTAGTTTAAAGAGTAAGATTCTTTTACTTCCTAAAAGAACAACTCAACTCTTATAAAAGCATGGCTGACGCTGTTGAACTTTTTCAAATTTACAAAACAACTTATCTTTATTTTTCAACAACAAATTGTGGTTTGTAGCAGAGTTGAAGTTTTGTTCTGCATTATGGCTGAGGTATACTTGGAGAAATCGAGCCAAAATTTGAAGGTTTGTGGCTTTACAACTATTCTTTTTTCTATAATACGTATTTTTTTTTCAATTAAATCAATATATGTGTTTACGCGTCCCCAAATTCTATGTGCTCTCCCTGTCCCCTGCCTATGTTTCCTGTCTTTCTTAGCTTCAGTTATTGACAACAACAACAACAAAAACCCGCAAATAGTATTCTCCTTTTTTTTTCTTCTTATTTCTTTTACTTAATAAATTTTTTATTCAGGGATGGGGAACAACAAACATCGTTGCAATCCCTAATGAAGGCTGCTGTCGTGAAATATATGTTGCTGTCGATATGAGGTCTACAAGTCCTAAATATGAAGGATTTATATTGGAAGAGGACGCAAAAAAATTTTTCTATATGGGGAGTTGCAATGTACTTGCAACTATGGCGGGAAATTCCGCGGATTGTGAAAATATGTTAAGTAGTTTGAATGGTGTAATGGAACGTGCATGTGAGACGGTAGTTAAAAATGGCATCCATTGTGCACCACAAATAGCCCGTTCCTATATTCGCTTGTGGGAAACATGCTCGACACCGTATTTCTCACAGTGGCGTCCACAATATTTCTTTCAGGGTTCTATTCTTATGGTTGGATGGGACGCAAGTGATCTTCCTTATATATATGACATTAGTCGTGATGGAGTGCATTACAAAACCAAATCCGAAGTTTGCAATGGGTTTGCGAATGGAAGCGGTAGTCAAAAGGTTCGTCAATACTTAAATAATTGCAATGCAGTAGTCCAGAGTTCAAATGAATTGTTAGCAAATGTGACAAGGGCATTATTATTTGCAACCCTTTTTGATGAAAATAGCGGTGGATATCTCCGCGTGTTTAAGGTAACCAAAACAGACGCTATAGATGTATATCGACGACCGGTTCTAGAAGCGCTTTTTGATCATTACGATGCCTTAGCTAGTCATCTTCACAAGTCACTGTTCTTTCTCTTTCCCACTAAGCATTACAAGTACACACATGAACATAATGTGTATGTGAACAAAGTATTCAGAGAAATATTTCCGGAAGATTATGTGCAGAATGTTGTCGTAAAGAAAGGAGAAGAATACACTGTAAGACTCGTACATTTTAACAAGCCAATTGATGAACTATATGAGCAGCTGAGAATAGAAAATCTTGAACGTGATGTAAGTCCTCAATTGGAAGCTCAAATGGAACAAGTTGGTCTGGAACAATTTCAGAAGGGAGCTATTTTGTTTGGTATGCCGACACAGATGTTGGTGGCAGGTTTAATAGACGTGTTGCGCGTCTAATATTTTGTTTAGAGTAGTCGTTTGTTTCATTTTGTTATATTTTTGTGTAATCACCGGACATGCACCTCATTTGGTTGAGATGATTGAGCCTTTCTTAAGTCTTCTAGTAAGTAGTGTGTTCATGTAACGATATCATACTTATTTGGAATTGAGTTAGTGCATATTTTGTTCTTAGTATAAAATCTTATTTTTATTTTGGAATTGATGATTTAATGCATATAGTTCAAAGACCAAATGTGCATTGGGTGTAGAGGTACTCGCCTAATCCTCTAGGACTTAACCCAGTCTTTTTGTACTTGTATCATTCCTATTCTCAATAAAATGTT